TGCGACATTCGCGTTCTCCCCAGATGTGCAGGAGGCCGCTAGCAAGGCGGCCGAATCTGGCGGAGTAGAAGGTGGAGTCGCCTCACCTTCCGCGGAGCTCAGTTTCCCGAGTTGAGGCGGGGTCGCACATCCTCCTTGCCCTGATCCTGGCACAGGGAGGTCTTGTGCTTGGTGCTGTTGCACCAATAGCAACTGCCGTAGCGGTCGCGGACCTTGTACTCCGCCTCGGTCAAGCCGAACTTGACCCATGAAACTTGTACTGGCTGTCCATTTCCGGCCTGCGATGCGGATTTCGCCTTCCCATTGTTGCGGGGCTTGTTGTTGCTTCGCGGCTGGACAGCAGCCACCTGATCTCCATCACTTGATGCTGGAGTGGGTGCTGGGTTATCTCCACTGTCCGACTGGACTGCAGCGAAGTGTTGCTGTCGCGGACCAGTTCGTACCTTCTCCACATAGGTTGACTGCCATGTTGACTTCTCGTGTGCAGCTGACCTGTTGGTCTTAATGATTTCCCTCGCCTTGTCAATGATCTCAGCGAAAGTTGAGTACTGCTCGCGATCACCAAGAGCCTGGCTCAATGCCGCACAGGACCTGTTGTAGAACTCACGGCGTAGATGCGTGAATGCCAATTCCAGATTGGGCACCGCCGCAATCTTCTGCCACTCCGTGAGCCAATTCCGTGTTGCAGTGCTGCCCTGTGACATGGTGAACAGACGGTTGATGGCGAGTGACGGCGCGTCGTCGACGATGAACCGTTTCTTCCACAGCCGTGTCAGTTCCTCCCATGTAATTTTGTCCTTCAAGTCCGGTACGTCGACGCCGTGGGAGGTTGCCAGGTGGCTCAACCAGGTCTGGCATCCTCCCTTTGAGTTCAGGAACAGGGCGCCGATGTACGCATGCTTGGCGACAGGCAGAATCCTGAGTTGCGTCGTGAATGCCTCCCACCAGAGAATCGGATCCCGCTGCGTGTAGTCGTCGAACTTGTCCAGTTGGAAAGTTGGCATCTTGTACATCTTCGGATAGTCATCTGCGTTCGTCGACTGCAACTGCTGGACCTCGGTCTTCAAGGTATGCAGCTGACTACTGATGGTGGTCGGCGCAGCGAAGGTGCTGATGTCGCCGAGCATTTCCACTACGTGGTCCACGCGTTCCTCCAGTTGGCGGCTAGAGGATGCACTGCTGGAAGCCCCAGCATCTGGTCCTGGTACAGCCTGTTCCAGGCCCAGTACACGGGCGTCCAGTGCCCGTGTGGCATCCTCGTGCTGAGTCTTATGATTCCGCACGGCCCGCAAGAGGTTTGCCAGCTCGGACTGCTGGTGGTTACACGTGTAAACCAACCTGCTCACGAGCTTGGCCATGAACTCCTTATGCTGTTCTTCCGGTGTTGGCTCGTCGCCGTTCGGTTCAAAGTGCCAGAACTTGAGTTTCTCGATGTTGTTGGCTTCATGCCGCTGCAGCAGACCCTGGGCTTCCTTTCGGTGAGCCTGGGCATCTGCGTCTTCTTCGGCCTGTAGACGCAGCTTCTCTGCTGTTGCCGCTTCTTCAGCCTGTAGCTGGGCAGCCTTGGCTGCCAGCTGGCGTTGTTCCTCAGCCTCGATTAGAGCGAGCTGAGCATGGAAGCGCTTTTTGTAGTCGGCAATGGGCTCATTGGCCAGTTGGCCTGGCAGGCCCGTCATGTTAATGACGTGGCACTGCTGACGTGGCACTTTGTCTGACGTGGCACTGTGTCTGACGTGGCACTGCTGACGTGGCACTGCTTACGTGGCACTGTGTCTGACGTGGTACTGCTGACATGTCACTGTAGCTGACATGTCACTGTAGCTGACGTGTCACTGTGTCTGACGTGGCACTGCTGACGTGTCACTGTGTGATGTGGCCTGCTGACGTGTCACTGTGTC